ATGATGAACTTTGATTTTTTAAATTTTTTACTGGACATATTTAATAGCAAAAAGTAAAAAATATAGTTTATTTTCAAAATCGTCAGTCTTTTCTTGTTTATAGCACAAATAATAAAAACGCACAGGCAATTAAATACCACCAAAAAAAGCTCTATGTTTGGGTTAAAAAGCATGTAAATTTAATTTGGGTGCAGCATTGCATGACCGCACAATTGTCAGTTAAAGTAAAGCAGCGCTGTATCGCAAAAAAATGGCCTGGTCAGGAAGGGGGGTAAATCCTTTGGAGGGCAAGTGGTTAACATATTTTAGCCATAATATTTACCTGTAAAAGATTCCCTTGTGTACACACCCAAAATCCAAAAACTGCTGCAGGGCACCATTGTCTTGGTTGTGATGTCAGAATCCCCAGCAGACTCAGAGCTGTCACTCAAATAACACCCTTGGCAGCTACATAAGAAGGTTACATAGGGAGGTGAGGGGGTGTAGGTGGAGAAGCTGGGCAAACACAGACAGTAATTAGACACTCCCAAAGGAGAAGAGGGCTATGTGGTACAAGGGGGGAAGGGGCTGTGCTAAGGAATTGACACTTTCTGGAAAGTCTATTCCCCAGCACAGTGGTGGGCAATCTTTTTTTTCAACTGAGCCAAATCTCACCAAAACCACGATTGAAATTTATTTTGAGAGCCACATTTTTAAAACTGAAAATACATCCCCCATATAGTAATTCATCCCCCATAGTAATTCATCCCCCATAGTAATTCATCCCCCATATAGTAATTCATCCCCCCATATAGTAATTCATCCCCCATAGTAATTCATCCCCCATAGTAATTCATCCCCCATATAGTAATTCATCCCCCATAGTAATTCATCCCCCATATAGTAATTCATCCCCCATAGTAATTCATCCCCCATAGTAATTCATCCCCCATATAGTAATTCATCCCCCATATAGTAATTCATCCCCCATAGTAATTCATCCCCCATATAGTAATTCATCCCCCCATAGTAATTCATCCCCCATAGTAATTCATCCCCCATATAGTAATTCATCCCCCATATAGTAATTCGTCCCCCATAGTAATTCATCCCCCATATAGTAATTCATCCCCCATATAGTAATTCATCCCCCATAGTAATTCATCCCCCATATAGTAATTCATCCCCCATAGTAATTAATCCCCCATATAGTAATTCATCCCCCATATAGTAATTCATCCCCCATAGAGTAATTCATCCCCCATATAGTAATTCATCCCCCATATAGTAATTAATCCCCTAGTAATAGTAATTCATCCCCCATAGTAATTCATCCCCCATATAGTAATTCATCCCCCCTATAGTAATTCATTCCCCATATTGTGTCAATTCACTTACCTTTGCTCCGCGCGTTCCTCTCGCCGTGTTCCCGCGCCGTTCCGGTCTTCAGGGCGGACTGTGAGAGGACAGGAGTTCGTCATGCGCCCCGCCTACATCCTGACAGCTAATGTTTGCCACGCTCCGCGGGCCGGATTAAAAGGTCCGCCGGGCCGTAGTTTGCCTATTGCTGGGCTAGCTGCAGAGTCCTGACTTTTGGGGCGGCCGCCCGAGAGGAGGGAGGGGAGCGGGCGGCCGGCACACAGAAGAGCCGCATTAAAGTGTGTAAAGAGCCGCATATGGCTCGCGAGCCGCGGCTTGCCGACCACTGCCCCAGCAAGTTCAAAAGCACCATGCACAGTCTATAAAAATTGCTTCATGGAAGTAAGCATTTAATATACTTGATTTTTTTGGTCCTCCCTGTGTTTGAAATAGTGGCATTATGCGCCTTTTAGGGTTGCCACCTCATCCCTTTAACCAGTTCCCAACCGCGCTATAGCCGAAGGACGGCCACAGCACGGTTGTCTAGTTCTGGGACGACATCCATGGACTTCAATCCAGAACATGCCCCCTTGCGCGCCCCCAGCGGCGCACACCCGGTGCCACTGGTGATTGCTGTGTCCTATGGACACAGCTGATCACGTGATATGGTAAATGACCAATCACGGCGGCCTTTTACCACATGATCAGCTATGTCCAATGACACAGCAGATAACCGGGTAAATACAGTTGCCGGTTATCGGCTGCACTTTCCTCACGCTGTCACAACGTGAGGAAAGTACTGCCGAGAACCAACAATTGTCAATGAAGATGATGATCAGTGCCCATGAGTGCTGCCCACCTGTGCCCAGCAGTGCCACCCACCTGTGCTCAGCAGTGCCACCCATCAGTGCCCATCAGTGCTGCCCACCAGTGCCACCCATCAGTGCCCAGCCATGCCGCCCATCAGTGCTGCCCATCAGTGCCCAGCAGTGCCACCCATCAGTGCTGCCCATCAGTGCCGCCTATCAGTGCAGCATCATCAGTGCCAGCTCATCAGTGCTGCCTATCCATACCACCTCATCAGTGCCCATCAGTGTTACCTATCAGTGCCCATCAGTGCTGCCTATCAGTGCAGCCTCATCAACAGACATCAGTAATGGAGAAAAATTAGCTGTTTGCAAAATTTTATAATAAAAACAAAGAAAAACTTTTTGTTCAAATTTTTTTTCTCTTTTTTTGTTTATAGCGCAAAAAATAAAACACCCAGTGGCAGTTAAATACCACCAAAATAAATCTCCATTTGTGTGAAAAAATTTAAAAAAATTTCTGGCCAAGAAGGGAGTAGAAGTGCCCAGTAGGCAAGTGGTTAAAATCGAACACATATTAATTACACAGGTTCTGTGGCTGATTAAGGTGGTAATAAAAACTCACCTAGCGCCTTGTTTGCATTAAATTAGTCTCAGAACCTGCATAATTAATATCTGTTCGGGTTTAAAGGGATGAGGTGGCAAACCTAACTCCTTTCTGTAATAAGAAAACTTTGATCTCATTCTTTCTAGTAGAAGTCACTGTTTCCTGGCAGTCAAAGCTCCCAGCGTTTATGACCATGATATCAGTGAATGTTTACTTCCCAGCAGGGATACCATTAGAAATCATGCTGTCCCACACAGCCTGCCTGATATCACACACTCCCCTCCCATCTAGGGTGGCCACCTCATCCCTTTAAACCTGAACACATATTAATTACACAGGTTCTGAGGCTAATTTAGTGCAGATACAGCACTAGGTGAGTTTAATTGCCACCTTAATCAGCCACAGGACCTGTGTAATTAATATGTGTTTGGTTTTAAAGGGATGAGGTGGTAACTCTACCCCCACCCCTCCATGACTCAGTCTAATCTGCTGCACATGGCAGACCTGGTAGCCAGTCCACCCCCCAAAGAAAGGACTTTAATGACCTTATTACATGTGTACAATAATCCCACCAGTTCCATGGGCCCATTGGTGTGCCAACAAATCTGGCATCCAGGGCTGATCAAACAGTAGCAGTGTTGCAACATAAAAATTAAATATGGTAGGTGGCCATCCAGAAGCCCTAGAGTGCTGGTACCCAGTGTGGATCGCACCCCCACACCCCCTTTCAGCAGCAGATCCCAGGTGATAGAGAGGGAATTATTGACTCATTTGCAGGGTCAGCTGGAGTAATCCTCCATTCTACAGCTCCAGGCAATCAAATTAAAGTTCCAGTCTGACCCAGCGGATTGATATATGTAGAGATGTGCTGGTTGCTTTAAATCTTAAACAGCAGTTGCAAAGCATTTTTTATTTATTTTCCCTCTTTGTGAGTGACAGACAGGGAAAGCAGGACTGTGCTCTGATTGATTATTGCTACAGTTGAGAAGGATCCACCCATAGCAGCACTGTTGCAGCTGAACTTATGATTGGCTGTGGAGGAAAGGAGAGAGGAAAAAGGAAGAAGAAGCACATGTGGGGCGGGAGACATTTTCAGGGGACCGCATGGAGCAAGGGCTCCTGGTGTAAGGTCACAGAGTCTCACTCTCTGTGCTGCTAGAGCCCATGGGCTGGGCTGAGAGTATGTTGCAGAGGAATTGTTGCAGGAGGACAGTGTGCAAACCAAGGATTGTCCTGCCTGACATTCAGGATTACAGCCACTCAAGTGCATGTGTCTCTCAGAGTTTGGAGCTGCTGTAAGAGAGAAGATTTCTACTACTGTCTAATGCTATCTAGAGGACTATCCAGAAAAAGTGAGTACTCTGTGATGAAAGGGGATTTTGATATTGCTGCATTTGCTGTTCATCTCTGGAGAATGGTCATGAGAAAGCCTGCTCTCTAATTCTCAGAGTGACACAGATCTTGGAAAGCCCAAGCTGCTCAGAATTAGCTATTCCTGCTGCTGATTGATGAGAGAACTCTGTCTCTGTATATTACTGGTTTGTCTCCTCAAGATTTGTGCTGTGGCTGAAGAGTGTGTTTAGTTCCAAGTCCCCACAGAAGCTTGCTGCTCTGAATATACTGAGCAAGTGTCAGTACATTAGGATTTCACCTGTATAGTAAAGATTTTGTTGAAGTGTTATTCTTTTCTATTGCAATGTTAACTGGAAGATTCTGCTTAAAGGAGACTGTGCTATCCTGCTACCCCTGGATTACAAATACTCTCCCATGCAGGGAGTGATTAAAGGGCCCCAACGTTGAGAGACTTTAAGTTTCATCCCAATGGCCAGTGGTTAGGTAGGACATTTTTGCTCTAGATAGTACTGCTATAGCAAATGTCAATAAGCTGCTAAATCTCATTAACCGTTATTGTTCATGTGTCAATGTCACTCTCATGTGCCACCCTAGTCAGTGTGATACTAGTCAGTTTTTGGAGTCTTTGGCGAGTGAATTGTGACTTCTTACTAACTGTGTTATGCAAAGTGGTATCTGTGATTTATGTACATTACCTGTGTTAAATCAGCTAGCTCTTTTTCAGGGTTTGTCTTCTTCAATAAAACCAATAAAAAATATTCTCAGAGTGTCGAAGTGTTCTGGGTATAATTGGAGGTGTCACCAGATTCAGGTGGGAGCTGAACCTATATATCTAGCCAAGTTCCACCCAAGGGTGTGCTACATATAGAAGAAGATGCTGGAGCTTTACAGTGTTACTGAACCCCCAACAGTATAATCAGTCTGTATACTCAGTAAAGCATGCTTGTTATACTCACTGTGGAACCTAAGGGGTTAATCCTCTGCATTGTGTAAAAAGGCCCTTTGATCCCTTCTTCTCTTCCACAGTCCCCAATCCATCTGCTGATAGTACAAAGCCCTAGGAGACACTCTGCACATGCTAAGTCAGTCAGGGGTCATGCAGCCTCATAGGACAGTCAGAGGAGAATGAAAACTCCTCCTACAAGCTTTAACCAGTGCTCTGCTGGACACTGACATTAGTCACAAGACTGCTATATACTGCTGATGAGAAAAGGTATTTTGCAGTTTATATTTACTAACATAACTGCAGGATCCTGAGTTTAGTGACACTTTAATTGTTGAGAGCCAAGGCCTGGAAGATTACTCCCCCTTCTCCTAAAAACAAGCAAACAGTGCCCTCTCTGTCCCTTGTCCCTGCTGCTGAACTGATGCAGCCTGGGGAACCTTTATGTAATCATTGGGAGCCATGGCCCGTGGAATTACTGTGCATGCACCCAAAGCTTATGCAGGATCCCCTTTTTGCCTCAGGTCCCCATACAGGAGGACCGGATCTACCCCCCTTTAGGCAGCCCTGCTCCCTAGTACCCATTTTACCAGTGAAATCTGCATCATAGTTCAGAGTTCACTTTCCAATATTCATACAACAAGATCTGCCCCTGGTACACACAGCAATGCGATCTGTACAATATCTATGCATAACAGACATCTGTAGATCAGCACACACACCTCGTTCCTCAGTGTCCATGCAGTGATTCATATAGTGAACTCGGTATAGAGCTATTCACCCTGAGGTCATCACAGAGGACAAGGGGGCACTCTTTACATCTGGAGGAAAAGAAATTTAATCTCCAGATACAGAAAGGTTTCTTAACAGTAAGAGCTGTGAAAATGTGGAATAGACTCCCTCAAGAGTTGGTTCTGGCCAGCTCCGTAGATTGCTTTAAAAAAGGCCTGGATTCTTTCCTAGATACACAGAATCTAACTGGATACTAACATTTATAGGTAACGTTGATCCAGGAAATATCCGATTGCCTCTCGGGGGATCAGAAGGAATTTTTTCCCCTGCAGGAGAAAATTGGATCATGCTTTGCTGGGTTTTTTGCCTTCTTCTGGATCAACTGTGTGTGTAGGATTATAACTTTTTTTTTTATGGTTGAACTGGATGGACTTTTGTCTTTTTTCAGCCAGACTAACTATGTAACTCATATCTCCAAACCAGCACTTACAGCTCACTCCCCAGTATCCATGACATAAGTGAAATGTAAACTTTAACAGACACAACACACTTCCTTAGTAGCAGTGAAATGTCAATTTCAGGACACACAGCACACTACCCTGTATCCTTGGCAACAGTGAGATGTACATTCCAACGTACACAACACACTCACTTGTTATATGATCCAAATGGCATGTGATATCCTTTAGTGAACTGAGCTAGTAGTGCCTTATACTCTCTTTTACAAACAGTGCCTCATGCATCTCTAAGGAATAGTTCACATTAGATGCAGTCCCGTGCGTTTTTTCTGCATCAAAAATGCATGCACAGTGTTTTCCATGTATTTCAATGGCCCTAGTTTACACCAGTGCAGTCAGTTTCCAGTGTAGAAAAAAAAAGTAGAACATGCTTCATTTTTTCTGTACAGAACCATACTGGAACATAGCAAACTGCATCAAAACTGCACCAGTACGGAGTGTGGTGTGAACTGTAAGCAAAAACGTATCCATCCAGAGTGCATTTTTGTGGTCTGAACTGGCCCTAAAATTCAATGCATCATACCTGTATTACACACATTGCTTCACATCACAGTACTTTGGGCATCTCTACTCTATGCATGGGGACTATTTATAAAGGATTCTCTTTGCGATTCTCAAAGTGAGTGTTTAACCCCTTCATGCCTAAGGGTAAAACAAATCTAAATGCCTAAGCACAATTCTGCAACGTTGACATGTGTTAGTAAAACCGTACATATCATCACAACTACTTTGTACATCCGGGTGGATTATACCTTGATTTTTTTCAGGACAAATTGGGCTTTCATTTGGTGGTAAATGGTAATGGATAGCTCCTATTTTTTTTTTTTTTTTATTATTAAAGGAAAACTGGCCCAAAATAGTAAAAAACAAAATCAATTTTTTTTAGTTAGCTGTGTGTTTCTTGTTACGACCATAACCTACCTCCATAGGACAACCCAAAATAAATTCTCCAGCTCTTGATGATCGCAGCGATACCATATATGTGTATGTTTTTTGTTGTTTGTACCCGTAGTACAGCCCAGAATCAATAGTGCGCATTTTGTTTTTTGTTTGTTTTTTTTACCTAAAACACACTGACACTAACATTAACACAAACTGACACCATTTTTTTTACCCTGACCTTTGACCTTGACCTTTGACTTGACCTTTGACCTTGACCTTGACCCAAACACTAACCCTGGCACTGAATTAGATCAAACCTTGATCTAGGTATTTTTCTTTATTTTTTAATATTTATTTATGTTCTTTTCTTTTTCTTTTTTTTTTTTCAAACATTTTTTTCTCTCTATGCCAGGAGTTAGAGAGATACAATGTATCTCTCTCCTCCATTCATAGAGAGAGAAAAAACAAGGGGGCTGGGCTGCACAGTGACTGATCACTGTGATAGCCAATCAGAGGCTATCACAGCGATCACGTGACCCGGAATCGGGAGTCCCGGGTCCCGATCGTTAGAACGGGACCTGAGACTCTAAGTGACACCCCAGTCTCTGTGCTGGGAGCACGCCGAGCGACATGCTGCCAGCACAAAGACAGATACGCAAATATGCGGCCCCACGGAAAAAAGCCCAGTTCCGTGAGGTCGCATATTTGTGTGCCGTCGGCATCAAGGGGTTAATGGACATTCATCCATATGTATTTTACAGCAATCGGTTATCATTTTCTAAGAAAATTCTCTCTATGTATAATGCTGCAGCTGATGGGCAGAATTTTTTGACTTTATATGCGACAGGCAAATCTTGTTTGGAATCTAAAAGTTATTATCCTGTTGAAGAATCCTTTTTGAAAATAATAGACTAATAGGGTGAATCTTTTTTGAAAATGATAGACGAATAGGGTGACTATTCTTTGAAAATGATAAATGAACAGAGTGAATCTTTTTTTTTGAAAATGATAGACGAATAGAATGAATCTCTTTTGAAAATGATAGATGAATAGAGTGAATCTTTTTTGAAACTGATAGATAAATAGGGTGAATCTTTTTTGAAAAAGATAGATAAATAGGGTGAATCTTTTTTTGAAATGATAGACGAATAGGGTGAATCTTTTTTTAAACCGATAGATGAAGAGGGTGAATCTTTTTTGAAAATGATAGACAAATAGGGTGACTATTCTTTGCAAATGATAGACAAATAGGGTAAATCTTTTTTGAAATGATAGACGAATAGGGTGACTATTCTTTGAAAATGGTAACCGAATGCTGTAAAATACAGACAAATGTCCGGCAAACATTCACTATATGAAACACACATTTAATCCCTTATAAATAGACCCACGTGTATCTACTAGATTTAGATGGGATGAGACATAAAAGAAAACTACAAAACTGATTTAAAAAACTTGCTTCCCTGACTGGTAGGGAAATGTTGGGTGGCCTACATTTTGCATTTTCCTCATTGTTTAGTGGATGTACATAGGTAGAAAAATCAGAGAAGAGTCTGACTGATCATTCCAAAACAAATAATCCCACCCCACTGTGACTGCAACTTGTGAATACTAATGTCTTTAAAGCTGTATTCTGTTAAATTGCAGATGAACAATCATATAAGCATGATGTATGCACATATTTTTGGAGCGTACTTTGGATTGGCAGTGTCATGGTCAATGGTTCCACCGTTACTTGGCAATGAGGCTAGTGGGCAGTATGAAAAATCTGAAACTAACTCCGAACTGTTTTCCATGCTCGGTAAGTGACCTAATAATAAGTTTGCAAAAATTGCTTATGCATAGTCCAGGGCTGTCTCTGCTCTTTGTAAAGTAGACAGCATCACTGATGTATGGATGTAATCAGGCCTGGGTGTGGCAAGTGAAATTTAACTAAGCTTTCAAAAGAATGGGTTAATCACAGTTCATTCATGATTTAGCAGGGAGGGGGGCAATTATTTTTTCACATAGGGCCAGGTAGGTTTGGACAGCTTTTTTCCCTTAGTAAATGAAATCGTTTTAAAACTGCATTTTCTATTTACTTGGGTTATCTTTGTGTAATATAACAATTTGTTTATCCGCCTCGCGTGATGATCTGACTCATTTAAGTGTGACAAATATGCAAAAGAATAAACATTCAGGAAGGGGCAAATACTTTTTTACAGCACTGTCTGTATGTTGTATGCAGTTTGTATGTATGTTGTATATATGTGTATGCAGTGTGTATGTATATACAGGGGGTGGACTGACAACTCATGGGGCCCCTGGGAAATAGGGGATCATGGGGCCCCTGTGTCCTTGCCCAAACTCAAAAAAGCTTATGAAAAAGGTACCAGGGGCATCTCATGGGGCCCCCTACTGACCCCTGGCCCTCGGGCAGTGCCTGAGTTTCCAAATGGTCAGTCCGCCCCTGTGTATATATACTGTATGTACTGTATGTTTATGTATGTGTATGTAGTTTGTATGTATGTTGTATATATGTTTATGCAGTATGTATGTATATATAATGTATGTATGTATGTGTATGCATGTATGTGTATGCATGTATGTGTATGCAGTGTTGTATTTATGTTGTATGTATGTATATGCAGCTTGTATGTATGTTGTATGTATGTGTATGCAGCATTTATGTACATGTATGCATTGTGTGTATGATGTATGTACATGTATGCATTTATGTAGTGTACATGTAGTGTCTATGTATCTTGTATACATGTATGTGTATTCAGTGTGTATGTATGCTGTATGTACTGTATGTGTATGCAATGTGTATATATGTTGTGTTCTGTTCCAAATGTTGCTTTATGCATTGACATACCTTGTTAGACAAAGTCTGTCTAGAAAGTATGGCCACCTGCTGACTTGGCATCATCCACAGGCAGCTTAACTCTTCAATAAGACACAGACATTGAATCCAAAGCAATTTT